GCAAGCCCTCGTTCCAAGCCTGAAACGTGCTCCGTGAGTGTGGCCTGGGATGAGAGAACGCCCGCAAGCTGGACCTGCATGTTGTCCACCGTGTTGGCAAGCAGCTCGTGCTGTTGTTCCATGTGTTGGATGCGGGTCGTGGCGGCATCTGACAGTTTAGGGGCCGTAGCGAAGCGTTCGCCGAGGGTGTTCGGTTCGCGCGATGTCACGCTGAATTCATCCTCTGATGAGAGGATCTCGACGTCGCCTGGTACCTCGGCGGCTGCGTCGGCGTGCCCTTCCGTGTGGCCCCCACCTTCGGCCGCCACCGTGCCAGGTTGCGGGTCATGCCCGTCCCCACCTGGTCCTTGGACGGCCGTCTGCTCGGCAGCTCCATCCGTGCCGTGCGGGGGTGCAGAGGAGCTGCGGCCTGGGGGGCCGTGTGATCTTGCGTGCGGCGTGGCGTCGCGTTTCCCGCTGGAGGATCGGTGGCGCTTGGCTAAAGGCTCCTCCTTGGGGGTCGGGAGCGGTGCGACGCCCTTGCCTTTGGGCGTGGCAGTCATGAGGTCGTGGAGGTAGGGGCTCTGGGCCGCTTTGGTTAGGAGTGTGCCCGCGGCGGGGCTGAAGCCGCCACCACGGGCGGGCGGCGTCACAGGCTCTGTGATAGTAGTAGGGGTGACAATGGTAACGTTGTCCCTCTTCGGCACGACCTCAGCCAACGGGGCCTCGGTGATGCTCCACGGGATGGGGCACCCTGCGACCTGTACCGTATATGTGGGTGGGGGACGATGAGCGCGCACTAAGGCAAACTGCGCCGAAGTGGCTGGGTCCCAGGCGGTGTGGTAGACCTCACAGTCCCATTTGACGGACGGGCCCGTGAGAGTCTTAGCAAGCTGGGTCAGCGTGGCATGGCGTGCCGCAATGCCCGTGATGCGGTATCGCGTCTTGGCGAGAGTGGCTTCACAGCCACGGATGCTGACGGCAGCGGCCTTGGCGGCGTCTGACCCACGTGCAACACGGATCCCCAATAAGCCTGACTTGCCGTGCCTGACGACTCCTAGGGCTTTGAAGTCCACCGACTTCTGAAACGCCTCTGCCATCGTGATGGGCTGGTCCTCGGGGAACCACACGGTCTGGTACTTGTCTGCCGTGGGCTCGTCCGCACCTACGTTGCTGAGGTCGTAGGTGGCGCCGAGTTGCCCCGAACCCGCCAAGACCTTGTCAACTGCTTGAAGACTGACGCCGAAAGTGGCAGCCAGGGACCTTTTTCCGACGCCAGATCCGTACCTGCCTAGACTTTTGCAGGGTTCGAGGATAGTGACGGCTTTAAAGTTGCCGTGGAAAAGGGCCTTGAAGGTGTCCTGAAGCTGACTGTCGAGCTCCTGGCGGCGAGCGTCTTTCTTAGACTCCCTGTGCTTTTGGTTTTGGCGCGCCTTGTCCTGTGGAGCGGAATCCCCTCGGAAAGGACCCTTGGCGCGTGGACCGCCGTTCACGGGGGCGCCTCCCGAAAACTGATCCTCGAAGGCCTGATGCATGGAGGGGACTGCGGCGATGGCTTCGGTTTCATGTATGGTCACCCGAATCCAGCATACGTGGTCGGCAGGATCAATGGTGGCGACGGCTACTTTTTCCGTGCAGGCGACTTCCTTGGTGCCCAGCTGGTACACGGTCACGGGGACGTGCGTGTGAACCACATTGGGCGCCTTGGGGTGGCGCTTCAGCACGGGGACGGCGAGCTCGGTGCCGACGTAGTTGTCGTTTTTTGGGCCCATGACAGCGATCGCGAGCTGACCCGTGGTACGCTTACCCTGCTCGAGATGGTGCTGCAGCAGCCGCTCGCCACTCTCGTAGTCGTGGAGGCTGATGCTGGGCTTGTACGTCTTGCCGTCGTCGAGTGATGTGGGTTCGGCCAGGACTGGGACCTTCCAGAAGGCCGGGTCCAAGGCAATAAATTTGGCGTCCGCAGCCTGAAGACGTGCGGACGCAGCTGGTGGATAGGATGTGTCACCACCATTGCGCTTAGGCTTACTGCGCTGGTGGTGATCCAGCGTGTAGCTGATCTGGTTGGCGGCACACATGCGAATCAAGGCACTGCCGAGCTTCTTGGTGTTGGTCTTGTGCATGTCGTACGTGGCCTGCAGCTCGTCCGCGTTCAGCTCGGCGAGCCCGTTGTATGCGGCTGTGGGGCGGTCAGACCCCGCTTGCTTGAAGGCTGCAATGCAGTCCTGTTTGCGTTGGAGGAGGGATCCTTCAGCTGCAGGACGTGAGCTCGGCGGCTGCTTGGAAGAGCGACGGCGCTCCGGCTTGGTGGGGGCCATTGCGGCGGGCGCTCTGGTGGGAGGGAAGAGGTGACGCGAATCAGTAGGGTCCTGCTGGGACCCCTCCGGTCTCGCGAGGCCTGGGAGACTGGCTCCGAGGCGGGGCGCTTCGCGTCGCGGCTGCGGTCTGAGCGCAGGGCACTCTCGAGCCGAGACTAGAGAGAGAGAGAGAGAGAGAGAGAGAGAGAGAGAGAGAGAGAGAGAGAGAGAGAGAGAGAGAGAGAGAGAGAGAGAGAGCGAGAGACGAGAGAGAGAGAGAGAGAGAGAGCAGAGAGAGAGAGAGAGAGAGAGAGAGCGAGAGAGAGCGAGGGAGAGCGAGAGAGAGCGAGAGAGAGCGAGAGAGAGATGAGAGAGAGAGAGAGAGAGAGAGCGAGGAGAGAGAACGAGAGAGAGCGAGAGGAGCGAGAGAAGAGAGAGAGAAGAGAGAGAGAGAGCGAGAGAGAGAGAGAGAGAGCGAGCGAGAGAGAGGAGAGAGAGAGAGAGAGAGAGAGCGAGAGAGAGAGAGAGAGAGAGAGAGAGAGGCGAGAGAGAGAGAGAGGAACGAGAGAGAGCGCGAGGGAGAGAGAGAGAACGAGAGAGAGAGAGAGAGCGAGAGAGAGGAGAGAGAGAGAAAACAAAAAAAGAGAGAGAGAGAGAGAGAGAGAGAGAGAGAGAGAGAGAGAGAGAGAGAGAGAGAAAGAGAGAGAGAGAGAGAGAGAGAGAGAGAGAGAGAGAGAGAGAGAGAGAGAGAGAGAGAGAGAGAGAGAGAGAGAGCGAGAGACTGGGGGAGGAAGAAGAGAATGGAGAAGGAGAAGGGAATAAATGAAGGGGGGTAAGGAGAAGGAGAAGGAGGAGAAGGGACGCAGGAAATAGAGACGGAGGCGGGAGCTGAGGAGGAGGAGGAGAAAGAAGGGGAGATGGAAGTGTGAGAGCGGGAGGAGGCGGTCAGCGGGAGGAGCCCCTGGGGGCCACGATCGACACATGTCCCTCTGACCGCTCGCGGAGCCACCCGCCCCTCTCGCCCAGGTCCAGGGGGTGCGTTCTGAACTAGACCGCTCGCGTTCTAAAGAAGGAGCCTCGAAATGCTACATGTCCCCATCCCCATGTAGGGCTGGTGGGATTTTCAGAACAATCGGCCCAACGCGTGTTCCTGCCCCCCTGCCCCCCCTCCGCATGCCCCACCGTTTGTTCTTGAACCCGAGCGCCCTTGGTTCTTGAGCGCATTCGGGCCTGGGGGGCAGCCCCAGTGCATGGGCTCGTCTGGGAACACCAAGTCGGCATCACTGTCCTTGCAATTGCACAGGCGGCACGCGCGGCCATCAGGCTCCGCTCTGCGCGGGCGCGAGAGGGCCGCAGGCATGGTACACGGGGCGCGATGGCCCGCGGTGACCTTATGCAGCCTCAACTGACATCAGAGCCGAATGCGGCTCCGGGAGGGTCGAAAGAGAAAAGCCGAAAAAGGAGGTCATGGGCCCCGGGGTCGATTGCATCGGGCAACTCCACTGCGCCCCCGAGCTCTCTAGCAGAGCCTGCGTTCACGAGAATTTCAAGTCCCAGGCCCCCTGGAACGCCTTGGCGCGAGCAGCTGGAGGGAAAGGGCAAGTAGCGAGGCGGAGGTAAAGGGGGGCGAGGGGAGGGCGGGGAAAACGGAAGAAGAAGAAGAAGAAGAAGGAGGGAAAAGAGAAGGAGAAGAGCGGCGGAGGAGAACAAGTCTGGAGCGACTGTGTCGGCAAATAGCCCGAGCCTTCGACGATGCCACCGCGTGCCGCAAAGTCTCGGCCATGAACTATCATTTGTCAATGTGAGTACGCTATGCTTCTGCATATGTTCTGTTTCGCCCCAGGGCTGGGATCCCTGGGCCCCCGTTCCCCAGCGTACCAGAATGTAGTTGTTCATCCGATTCCTCCTATTCCTCCTCGGGGAACAAGCTCGAGATCCCTCCCCCTCCTCATCCTCCTCATCTTCCTCCTCCTCCTCTTCCTCCTCATCTTCCTCCTCATCTTCCTCCTCCTCATCTTCCTCCTCCTCATCTTCCTCCTCATCTTCTTCCTCCTGATCTTCCTCCTCCTGATCTTCCTCCTCCTCATCTTCCTCCTCCTCATCTTCCTCCTCCTCATCTTCCTCCTCCTGATCTTCCTCCTCCTCATCTTCCTCCTCCTCATCTTCCTCCTCCTCATCTTCCTCCTCCTCATCTTCCTCCTCCTCATCTTCCTCCTCAGCTCCCCTCCTCATCTTCCTCCTCCTCATCTTCCCTCCTCATCTTCCTCCTCATCTTCCTCCTCCTCATCTCCTCTCCTTCATCTTCCCCTCCTCATCTTCCTCCTCATATCCTTCCTCATCTTCCTCCTCCTCATCTTCCTCCTCCTCATCTTCCTCCTCCTCATCTTCCTCCTCATCTTCCTCCTCCTCATCTTCCTCCTCCTCATCTTCCTCCTCCTCATATCCCTCCTCCTCATCTCCCTCCTCCTCATCTCCCTCCTCCTCATCTTCCTTATCCTCATCTTCCTCCTCCTCATCTTCCTCCTCCTCATCTTCCTCCTCATCTTCCTCCTCCTCATCTTCCTCCTCCTCATCTTCCTCCTCCTCGGGGCCCAAGCTCGAGACCGCTCGATGCGGGCGTGCAAGGCTCGGGCGGTCTTGCACGTTACGAGCCTGCCCACGCAGGTCACCAGTCACAGAGTTGACGCACGCCAATCACAAGTACAACAGCTGCGCCACGAGCTCTCATGTGTGATTCGAGCCGACGCCGATGATCATGGCCGTGATGGCGGCCGAGAGCGCGAAGCCGTTGAAGGCGTTCCCAGCGAGCTTCGCGATGTCGGCGTCGTTGTACTGCCCATGCTCCGGGTCCCCGTAGCCGATGAGCCTCATGAGGTAGGTGTTCGCGATGTGGCGGAATGCCTTGCTGCCGCCCCTCAGGCGGATGCGGGCGAATATCACAGAGGTACAAGCAAGGGCGGGGCAGAACGGCCTGTACGCCTTCCTGCGGCCGTCAGCACCTGTGAGGAACTTCAGCGACTGGTTTATGTCCAGGAACTGCGCTTCACCAGGAGTCTCATGCCAGGGCTCTGTCTCCTCGAGGAACGCCAATAACTCGACCTGCCGCGTGGTCAAATTCACGGTCGCAGCCATGAAGCACTCACCGTATCTGCTGACGGTCGGGGGGTACAAGTCGCCGGCGTTGGCGTTCATGAAGTCGCCCAGGAGGCCGCCATCCCAGGAATGATTCTCGTGCCTCTGCCTGACCAGCTGCATGTCCGTGGCAATGGGGATCGCATCCAGCGGCCCAAGGATCATATCCTGCGGCGGCAGTGACCCTGGCAACCGACCGAGGCGGGGTGGTTGGTCCGTTTTCTCCCTGATCACTAAGGACGCAATTGCGGATGTTGCAGCGTCAGCCATGCTCTGGTTGTCGCGGCCGTCGATCTTGAAGCAGAATATGTAAAGGCGATCGCGCTTAGTCAAGCTGCCGTGGTCCATGGCCTCGATCAGAACGTGTCCGACGCCATATCCAAGCTCGCGCAGGCAGGACTCGATGTGCTGAAGGTCAGACTTGCTGCCGTCAGGGGGGGACTTCCATGAGCCCTTTGACATTCTCCAAGAGTCCCATCTTCGGCATGTGGGACTTGAAGTAAGCCTCCACGTGCGCCCATGTCGAGCCTGTGAGACCATCCCCACGCTGGCAGGTCCCCTTTGGTCTTGGCGCGATTGCGGTTCAATGACGAACGATCCTTGCATACGAAGCCGAACGCCACCATGTCCACCGCAGGGATCTCAACGACGCTGCCGTGGACCAAGCACTTGGCACTCATGTGGTGCATGTCTTTCATGTCCTCAAACAAGTACTCAGGCGACCATTCGGTCAGAAGGAATTCTCTGGGGAACGCCGCATTGTCGCAGTGCCAACAATATGCGAACTCAACAGTGGAATCGTCCGCGTGGATGACCGCCCAGCAATCCGTCAGTGCATGAGTTACCACCTGAATCACGTTACTGCCGCTGAACCCAGTACCGACGCGAACGCCGTCATGACACAGCTGGCGGAGCCCCGAATGCAGACGCGTCTTCATCAGAGATGGCAAATGTTGCATCGTTGTATATATCGCACTCCGCAGCGCCTCGCCAGACTCAAACAACGGAGCTACTGATGGCTGCCGTTCACGAGAGCGCGTGGCTGGCGCCGCGCCCGCGGCTGCCTTTTGCGCGGCCAACTCGACCGCATCTGCACTGGCATGCCGTCGAGTTGCCGCGTCGGAATTATGTTGGGCAGTTGTTTTTCTGAGGGGAGGTTTTTTTCTGAGGAGTCCACTCCTCAGAAAAGAAAAAAAAACTATCCTCAGAAAAACAACCTCCGCATTTTAACCTAAGAAACAACTCCAAACGCGTGCGGACACGCACGCAAAAACCTAAATAACCTCATACCCAAAACCTTTGTTTTCTGAGGTGGGGTTTTTGTCTGAGGAGTCTGATCCTCAGAAAACAACTCATCGCGATTTTTTTTTATTAAAAAAAAACCCTCGGACATCTGAAACAACGCATGTAAAAGAAACTCATCCCACAATCGAACGCAAAACGAATCTCAGGCACGGACAACTCGACGGCGATGCATCGCGAGGGCGGACGCATCGACCGCAACCTTGTCGAAGACCTCTGGTAATGCACTCATCTGCGCGAACACGCTTGCCATGGTGCCGCTATCGATGAAGCAGCCCAGGCCGCTGTCGACGTCAGCGGTGGGCGGGCTCCACGGAATCACCGAGGCATCGGTGGCCACGTTGGCTGGTGCGAGCTGCACCACCGCCGCAGATGGCTCGCCCTCCTGAGCAGGCCGCTGCGGCTGCCAGATGGTCAAGTCCTCATCGGACAGCAGCTCTGAAAGCGCATCGTCGATCGATTCATCTGGGCCGCGCTGGCGCGCCTGGCCATCATGCGCTGCATCTCCCTGCATCACCTCGGGGGACACGCAGTCTACAGGCGCCACCTCCTCCGCAGGCGCCCCCTCATCCGCAAGCGATGCATCGCCCCGCGCCACCGCGGGTGGCGCGCCATCTGCGGGCGCGCCATCCCCCGCAGGCGGCCTCCCGTCCGCCGGCGCCATCTCCTCCGCCGGCGCCACCTCCTCCGCCGGCGCCATCTCCTCCGCTGGCGCCACCTCCTCCGCGGGCGCCGCCTCCTCCGCGGGCGCCGCGTCATCGGGCGCTGCAATCGTGGGTACCTCCTCGTCAAGAGCGATCACATCAGCTCCTCCCTCAGCCTGGCCCGCCACTGCGTCCTCCGCCGCGAGCGCGGTCAGCGCCCCCAGGGTAGCATTCACAAGCTCGGTGACTGCTGGCTTGAGCTGGGCGATGGCATGCGAAGTGGGGGTCTGCGAGACCGCGACCGCGACGTCCGCAATAGCATTCCCCACGCAATTCAGAGCTGCCACTTCGTTCGCCTGCAGGGGCCGCTCGGTGGCCGACGTCAAAGGAGTCGCCCGTGTAGGTGACCCAGGCTGGGTGGCTGGTAGATCGCCACTATGGCGGTCTGCAGCTGACTCGACCGCGATCGCGGCGCCGTCGCCGCTGCGCTCGCCCCCCTCCTGGCGGAAGGCGCTGCGAATCCTACCAAAGCCGCCCCCCCATCAACGTCCTGAAGCGCGGAAGGGCTGCCTGGGGGCCCTTTGAGCTCAGCGGGGGCACCTGGGGTCTCTTGGAAGCTCAAGGAGGCATTTCATCTTGGAACGCGCTGGTGGCATCTGGGTCAGAGGTGGGCGCGAAGCGCGAAACGATCACCAGTCTCGAGGGTCGCCGCGAGGGCCAAGAGGGACCGATGCAGCAGCAGCAGCAGCAGCAGCAGTCAAAGCAGCAGCAGATGCAGCAGCAGCGAACGCACCAGCAGCAGCAGCCAAAGCACCAGCAGCAGCAGCAGCGAAAGCACCGGCAGCAGCAGCAAAAGCAGCAGCAGCACACGCAACAGCAGCAGCAACATCACCAGCAGCAGCACAAGCACCAGCAGCACAAGCACCAGCAGCACAAGCACCAGCCGCACAAGCACCAGCAGCAAAAGCACCAGCAGCACAAGCATCAGCAGCACAAACACCAGCATCACAAGCACCAGCAGCACAAGCACCAGCAGCACAAGCACAAGCAGCACAAGCACCAGCAGCACAAGCACCAGCAGCACAAGCACCAGCAGCACAAGCACCAGCAGCACAAGCACCAGCAGCACAAGCACCAGCAGCACAGGCACCAGCAGCACAGCACCAGCAGCACAAGCACCAGCAGCACAAGCACCAGCAGCACAAGCACCAGCAGCACAAGCACCAGCAGCACAATCACCATCAGCACAAGCACCAGCAGCACAAGCACCAGCAGCACAATCACCAGCAGCACAAGCACCAACAGCACAAGCACCAGCAGCACAAGCACCAGCAGCACAAGCACCAGCAGCACAAGCACCAGCAGCACAAGCACCAGCAGCACAAGCACCAGCAGCACAAGCACCAGCAGCACAAGCACCAGCAGCACAAGCACCAGCAGCACAAGCACCAGCAGCACAAGCACCAGCAGCACAGCACCAGCAGCACAAGCACCAGCAGCACAAGCACCAGCAGCGAACGCACCAGCAGCACAAGCACAAGCAGCACAAGCACCAGCAGCACAAGCACCAGCAGCACAAGCACCAGCAGCAGCGACAGCAGCAGGGAGGAGGAGGACGGACGGACGGACGGACGCACGGACGGAGGTACAGACGGACAGACGGACGACATCACGACCAGGGCCCCAGCCAGGCTGGGGCTCGAGCCCCAGCCCGAAAGAAGGCTGGGGCCGCAGCCCCAGCCTTGCAGAAGGCTGGCCGCGCGCAAATTTAAGGACCGACCAACCGCGGGGCCTCCGGGGGCTGGGGCTTTGGCGGGTGACTATCCTGGGGCGTCTCCTGGCGCTGCTGGTGGCTATCCTGGGCCGTCTCCTGGATGGTCAAGAGGGGCCGAAGAGAGCGGCGACGAACCCGGGGGCCACGAGCAACGACAACGATGGGGACGACGACGACAACAAAGGGGCGCTGCGGGCGGCGCGTCCTGCGCAGCACCGCGCTGGATGAGATGCTCGACGATGGACGTGCCCGCGAGCACAGGGTCCTGGCGGCGCGTGGGAAGCAAAATGGTAAGCGCCACCATCCCTTCTCATCTCCTCACCCTCATCACCTCCTCACCCTCCTCCTCCACCTCCTCCTCGTCAACCTCATCGCCACCTCCTCACCCTCATCACCTCCTCCTCACCCTCATCACCTCCTCCTGACCCTCATCACCTCCCCCTCACCCTCATCACCTCCTCCTCACCCTCATCACCTCCTCCTCACCCTCATCACCTCCTCCTCCTCATCACCTCCTCCTCACCCTCGCCACCTCCTCCTCACCCTCATCACCCCACCCTCACCCTCATCACCTCCTCCTCGCCCTCATCACCTCCTCCTCACCCTCATCACCTCCTCACCCTCATCACCTCCTCACCCTCGTCACCTCCTCACCCTCATCACCTCCTCGCCCTCATCACCTCCTCACCCTCATCACCTCCTCACCCTCATCACCTCCTCACCCTCATCACCTCCTCGCCCTCATCACCTCCTCACCCTCATCACCGTCTCCCCCGATACCCGCGTCTCTTTCCCTCACCACGCCTCGCCCTCACCTTCTTGCCCAGCCCTCCTCTCCTCACCTATCCTATCCTATCTTAGCTGACCTCGCCTCGCCCTCATCTCCACTTTCTGCTCTCCCTCCTCCACGTCCCCTGGCGCCACGCCAGCTGCGCTCACCTTAGCCTAGCGTTCCCCTCCCATGCTCTAACAGGCCGTCTATCCCAGAATGCCTACCCTCCTTGACAACCCCCATCCTATCCTACCCCGCCGCACCCCCATATTATATTGTGAAAACGCTGCGGCCCCCTCCTATCCTTACCCAGAACATGGAATATTTGCGAGGGCGCTTATTTGCACGACGGCCGGCGCCAGCGAGCTCACGCGCCAAAGTAACCGAAAGCAGAAAATAATGGCCCATTCAAAAATTGGATGGGCCAACACGCGCTCGGCGAAATACGCTCTGCCACAGGCTGATCACCTTAAACGAAGTACAGCGGGGCGATGCGCGACTAACTCGCCGTGGCCATCCTCCTCCTCATGACTCACCATCATCTCCATATTCCTCTTCACCTTCGTGGCATCATCGCGTCGCCGTCTCGTCGTCTGATCTTCGTCTCCCCGTCGCCATCGAACCGTCATCGTATCCCATTCGTCCTCTCGTCGTCGTCTCGTGATCGCCAGGCTAATTGTCGCCCCGCCGTCGCATCGGAGCATGTCATGTAGTGTCGTTCTCTCATGTCCCTCATGGCCGTCGTCGAATCGTCGTGGCCTGGTCGGCATCGTGCGACGCCTGCCTATGCATCGCCACGCGGCCGCCGACCGCCCTCCACGGGTCGGAGCTCCGCTGGGGCGGCAGGCGGCTCAGCCAACTCCTCCACAGACGGAGGCGAGCCTAGAAGCCGAATATCACCAGCGCCGTGCACGCGCTGTGTCCGAGCATTCCCGCTTCGCGGGCTGCCCAGGCCGCGCGCGAGCCAGCGCTTTAATTGCGCGATGCATTCGTCATCGCTGAGCACTGCTGAGCCCGCCCTGCCCTTGAAACGAAGCGGCTTTTTGCAAGCCAGGGTCGCAGCTGCATCCCAATGCAAATTGCAAGAACACCCCCACCCCACGTGGACGCCAGCCGAGTATATGCGGGAGAATGGAAACGGCCCCCAGCGGAAGGCGACGCGGTCACCAGGGCCCGCCCTATCACCGCCGTCGGCTGGGCCAGGGGGCAGGGGCGGAGGCGGCGCGGGCGCAGGTGGGGCAGGCTTTGGCGCAGGGGCGGGCTTGGCTTTCGGCACTGGCTTAGCCTTAGGCTTGCCCTTCGTCTTTGCCATGACAAATTTGGCCTCCTTAGTAGCCTTTTTGCATAGAAAATAATCCTTCAGCTGGCGGGCGTCATCGATGCTACTCTCAGACGCGGCCCCATCGCTATCTGGGAACGAGTCCTGCTCGGCCGACGCCTTCTTGCCAGAGCTGCCCTGGCCAACCCCGGGGCCGCTCGCGCCTGCCGAGGACCCTGTGATGGGCGGGGCCGCTGAGAAGACATCCCCAAAGAACGCCGCCACGCGGTGGACCTCCGACTCGTCGGCGCCGCCTCCGCCCAAGCCAGCGCCAAGGTCGCCGAACACGTCCTGGTGGCAAGCGAGAGGCAGAGGAGTAGGAAGGGGGGAGGGAAGAGGGCGAGGAGAAGGAAGGTGAAGGAGGAGCAAGAAGAAGAGGGAAGGGAAGGATAAGGATGAAGGGAAGGATAAGGATGAAGGATAAGGATGAGGGAAGGCAAGGATAAGGATAAGATAAGGATGGCACGAAAAGGAGGAGCACGCCGACGGAGCAGGTGGCAGGAAGGACGAGGGGGGAGGCATTGGACGGAACGCGAGCGGACACCTGCTAACGGGGCATTGGGCAAGTCACCCGGGCCCCTCATCAACATCCCCACGCCCAGCCAGCACCCCCCGGGAAGGGCGCAGTGGGCAGGGGCAACGCTGGATTTCGACTGGGCTTCCCACAGAGCAAGAAATGTGGTTTCCCCCTTTCTCTTTCCTTATCATCCTCGCACTCCTCCTACCTCTCCGAGCTCCTCAAAGTCCACTTCCGAAAACACATAGGGCGTGCTCGTGCCCACGACTCTGCGCTGGATGAGCGGCACCTGCTGGTCCTTTGCGCGCAGCGGCATTGTCTCCAGGATGGTGTGCGCCAGCGACGAACCAGCAGGGAAGAGGTCAGGGTGGCCGAAGAGCATGCCCAAGCTCCGGACGATCGAAATGTGCGTGGCCAACACCAAGCGGCTGCCAGGGTTGAGGCAGAGAGCGACGCCGCCCTCCGTCTCGTAACCTCGGAAGGCGGAAGAACGATTCGGCCTTCTCCACCCTCTCGTTCATTTATACTCTACCCCCCCCCCCCCCTCCCGACATGAGGAGGAGGAGGAGGAGGAGGAGGAGGAGGAGGGGGGGGGAGGAGGGAGGAGGAGGAGGGGAGGAGGAGGGGGAGGAGGAGGAGGAGGAGGAGGAGGAGGAGGAGGAGGAGGATGAGGAGGATGAGGATGAGGATGAGGATGAGGATGAGGATGAGGATGAGGAGGAGGAGGAGGAGGAGGAGGAGGCCGCGAGATGCCCAAGAGAGCCCCAAGGCTGCTTCGGGCAAGGCCAGCGAGCATGCGGCCCAAGGAGGGCCCCATGACATCTCGAGCACTGGCCCCCCAGGACCCTCCAAAGAAAACCACCTCCCCCTATGAAAGGCGCACGGGCGTTCTGAGGCCCTCTTGAGCCTGGGAGTCCAAGAGAGCCTTTTCAAGAGGAAACCCAAAGACAACCCCAAAATCTCCAAATGACATCCCTCAGAAGACCCCCAAACAATAGCCGCTAGGGCTGCTTCGGGCGCGCTTCAAACTCCCCTGGCGTCCGCGCGCGAAAAGACACAGGCGAGGGTCAGCTCCACGGACATGGCCGCATACGGCCACCAAGGAGCACGGGGTCTCGA